ATAGCACTGAGACAAAGAAATGGAATGAACAAAGAATGAGGAAAGCCAAAGTGTTACTAAATCACTTACTAGGATGATTCTGCATCAAAGGGGTCTCCTGAGGGGCACCTACAACATCATCAGTCTCACATTCTACATGGACACCAGGATATACACCAACCTCATTGGGGGTGGATTGAGCATTGGGCACCACAACTGCAGCTTCCACATCCACCTCACAGTTGGGTAACAGAGGCTTAGAGGGTGTCGGATTCTCTGGTGCTGGCGACAACCCATGAGGAGGTGAATGAACATTAGGGGGTAAATACCCATGAGGGGTGGGATCATTGGACAACTTCCGCACAACCAAATCAAAATATTGAAACTCATTCTTCATGACAGTTTTGACATATTTGTCACATTGAGCCTCTGATGCAATTGGGACCAACCGCCTCAAAATTGTCCCTAACATGCCATGGTGAAGTACCCCCTCAACTAAGATGGCATCTTCATTTGAATTGCATTTAAGCTCATCACGAGCCCTACCAAACAACTCACAAAACAATGGCCGATCATTGAATATCACTGGCACCCTTTGCATTTCAACAAAACTGACATTACCAAACTCATCTTCCTCCACACTTCCTCCATGATACAAGGTGACTACGTTGTCCATCTAGTTGGTATGCACATAAACCAAGTTATTACAGGTATATTATTATAAGATAACTAACCATAATCTCTAACTACATTTGCTAATTAAATTACCTAACTATCTACCTAAACAAATAAGTATCTAACTGCCTAACTATCTCTCTAACAATATAAGAGATTTGGTAACTACACTTACTAACTAGCTAACTAAATTAATAAGTAACTAACTCCCTAATTATGTCTCTAACAATTTAATCAAACTAAATAAGCTACATACATATATTCCTAAGTATATAATATAACTAAATAAATAAGCATCTAACTTTCTACCTATGTCATTAAATTTGCTAACTAAATTTGCTAAATATTCTAAAAAAATTACTAACTAAATTACCTAAAGTAGATTAACTAATTTAAGTTAACTAAAAAATTACCTCGGATGGGCAGGGGGCGCAGGGCCCGGAGGCCACCGATCGATGGGAGCTCCGGCGAGCGGTGGTGGACCGCCCTCACCGCCGGATAGCGAGGAGGAGGGAAGGGGCGATGAGGGCGGCTAGGATTCGCATGGCAACGGGGGCGCGGCGGCGGCCTCCTGTGGTGGAGCGGCGGGCTGTTGCGCGGGGGCACAGGGGCCAGAGGGGTACGGGGCGCAGGGCCCGAACGGCGGGCGGTGGCCTGCTGCCGGCGCAGGAGGCGCGGGCGACGACGACGGTGGTGAGAGGCAGAGGCAGAGACAGAGCACGAGAGAGAGAGAGAGCTGCGGCCGCGGGTTTTGAATCTATGCTCGATGCCAGAATACATGGCGCCGAGGTCGGCGGCAAGATCTGTGGCACCGAGTTCGGCGCCATATGTTCTGGCGCCGAGGTACCGGCCACGTGAACGTCACCTAGGATGCCCTGCTGTGCACGGCCAGGCACCTCGGAGCCAAGATCTGTGGTGCCGAGACGTGTTACCTTGGCGCCATGAGTTCTGGCGTCGACCCCCAGGGTCCAAAGATGAGTTTAAGTCTCCCAGGAGAACAAACGTAATTTTTTTTTCAAGAAAGGCCAAATTATAAAAAAATTGGGTAGGTATGACCCATAATTAATATGACATCATCTTTCAAATTTGCTACAATGGGTATGGATCTGTAGGTGATTCACTGTTGCTGGTGCTGGTGTTAGGTCGCTATTTCACTATGTGGGTGATTCAAGTGACGACGTGGATGGTTCCATTGGTAATACAAATATTAAGATGGTGATTTGGACTATCATAAAAAATTATGAGATGATTAATGATATTATTTTCAATTGATATAAGAACTTAAAGATAATTTATCTCCACATGTCATCGGAATCCTCGTCCTTGCGATCATACACTAGAGATGACATATAAAGTTTTTGGGAAGCATTTTCGCGCGACTGCTCCGTACCTCCACAACGGCTCATCTTCCAAAGGCTATGTCATGACAGCTCATCTTCCAAAGGCTACATCAGGATGTTGTCTGTGCCGCTAGCGGATTCTTCACATCATCAGCGACAACATTCCTCCACCTCTCATGACGACTCCGTGATCCAATCTTTTATTATAGTATGCCTGCTGTCTTGATCATGATGCCATTCGTTATATCAATGTTCATGTTGTTCGATCTAACTAGTATGTTAGAACTGTTTGTGCTAGTATCTGAGATCGTCATGGTTTATATTCTGATTTTAATCTTGAAATTGTCTACTTTCTCTAAAAAAAAGTTATATACAACTACTATACACTAATACACGCATGCATGCGACTAGGTAGGTGCAGGTCCTGAATCAGAAAGCCCCACACGGGCGCACACACAGACCAAATGGTCCATATGTGTGTGTATAACCACCTCTTATTAATCGAGATTTGAGAGAATATCAAATGGACTATCACGAAAGAGAATGTGCGACGTCCTTTACCTTTCAAAACGAACACGTTTGGAATTTTGAATGCAAATCTGGATGTAGCCAGTAGGTTGGCACTGCTTTTGGCGGCATGTACTGTACTAGTAGGCAGTTGGCAGGGAGCAGGCACCAAACTGGGAGGCCTCATTTATGTCTCATTTGATGTGACAGGGACCTGATGCCTAGGCTTGGAATGAAGAGCTAGATTGGGGCCTTGTTTAGATCCTATTAAAATTCTAAGTTTTTTCACTCTCTTTTCATCACATCAATTTTTGGACATATGTATGGAGCATTAAATGTAGGTAAAAAAATAATTAATTGCACAGTTTGGTTGTAAATCACGAGACGAATCTTTTGAGCCTAGTTAATCCATGATCAGACAAAGTTTGTCAAATACAAACAAAACATGCTATAATGTTCGGATTACAAAAATTTACAATCTAAAGCAGGCCTGGCTCAAATCCAACGGAATGGAAGCTCTGGCTCCTAGCTGAAACTCTGCACCTTGGAACTTTGGAAGTATTCAAGCTTCAGATCCTGTTTGGTACATAGAAAATAGTAGGAAAAATGGAGGATTTAGTTTGATAGGAAAAGAACGGAGATGACACGTTTGGATCAAGGATTCGGAGGAAAACTTTTCAGAGGAAAGGCAATAGAGATTGTATTTTTGAAGGAAAGAAAAAAATGTGCTAAGAGCCTTAGGAAATTTTCCTACGACGCTTGCTCGCTCAGGCAGCACACTCCTAGTTATTTTCCGCGTTTTTCTTATGTTATGGATTTCTGCGTTCCAAACATACCTTCTAGTTATTTTCCACATTTTTTCTTTTCTCTGTTTTACTACTACACACTCACCCCATTCCTACGTTTTTTCCTATTCTCGTGTTTTTATTTCTGCGTTTCAAACATGCCCTCAAATTCGATCCATCCACTTGCGCTCTCTCTCTGTTTTGTGTTCACTTGCATCATTTCTAGAATCTAAAAATCAAATATACTATGCAGTAGCTAGTAATGGCACTGTTCGCTTGAATTTATCGGTCGTACTTTTTCAGCGAAGGAATAATGTTTTTTTTCTCTCACAACAAATCAGCGAACACTACTTTTCAGCTTTGGTCTTTGTGGGTAAAAGAAAGTAAATCGATTTTTATTCTAAGTCAAAATATTTTAAATTCGAGCAAATATATAGAAGATGTTATCAATATTTATAATTCCACATAAATATATTATAAAAATTCATATTAATTACATGGTGAATCTAATTATATTTCTTTGGCATTATAAGTATTTACATATTTTTTGTATAATTTGAGCTAAACTTGAGGTAGTTTAACTTATGCTAGTGTTTTTCTTTTTCTACGGAGATAGTATTATTTCCAAATCAAGCTTTGTTAAAATGGTGCCAACTGACCTGACCTTTTGCAATTCAATTCGTGAATCAGGAGAGCCAAAGACACTGTCACAACTCGCAACAAAACGGTTCGAATATAATATAAGACCTGTTCGATATAAAGGTTAATCACTAGCTAGCTAAAAATTAGCCCAAATTAGCTCTAGTGCATCCAAATATGAGGAGTAAGTTTTTAAACTAGTCTTCACTGGTCACTAGTTATTAGCCAACTAGCTAGCCACTCTTAACTAATTTGAGTTAATTTTTAGTCGAACCAATAACTAGCCCTAACTCACCCAAACATAACCATCATAGTATTGACAGAACTTGTAAATCCTGCATATGGGGAAAAATGGAATGTGGCCAGAAATGGCTACCGTATTAAGGTCCAAGGTCATGGGGAACTCTAGCTACTACCGTACCATGTTCAAATGTTGGCGCAACTTGGGGCAGCACTGCTGCCACCTTACTTATTGAAACCTATCTAGGACAGGAGACCAAAAACTAAAATGGTCACAAAACACTTATAGTCTCCAATAAAGTATTTATATAGAAGACCTATTTTGGGTATCATGAGAGGTATATCCTAAATCTGAGTATCCTCTCTCCTAGAGACCTATTTGCACAAAGAATTTTCTTTTGGGTCTTGTTGTTGGAGAAAACCAAAAATAAATATTGAACAATTTTTCTATAGCGATATCCAAACGTGAAATGAGTCTTATATTTTAGGTAACGGTTATTGGAGACAGTCTAACCTAAGTACAATTGCATATGCTCATGTTTTAAATAAGGTAATCCTGTCCAGCCATTAGACCAAACTTTCTCGATAAACAGGAGAACTGCATGCATGAAGGTAGGCCCTACATGAAGGTAACTAGTGTATCCAGCTTGCTAGGCTCACAAATAAAGTACAGTTTGTTTCAAAAAAAAATAAAATAAAGTGCAGCTACCGTCTCATGCACATCAACAAGCATAGTACTATGAAATTGCAATTACGTTCAGGTGCATCAGTGCATGCACAAGCTAAGCAGCTAGATCCCACAATGCCGGGTGGCCAGCGTTAGGCTAGCTGCCGGCTAGCCGCCGTGGAGGACGACCCAGACGTCGGAGAACGCCTGGAGGACGACGTGGTGGAAGCGCGGCGCGTTGAGCGACAGGTACGACCGCAGCAGCCGCTCCAGCTCCCCCGCGCCGAACACCTGACGCCCCATGATCATCTCCACCATCGACTCCCGGAAGTCGCCGTATGGATCCCGTGACCGCTTCACCACCGCCAGCCCCTTCCGTACCTGCTCCACCGCCGCAGCGGTGGCCGTCACTGTTTCCATCGCCACCAGAGGACGGAACCGCGTCTCCCTCACAGCTCCGGCGCCGCACGTCTCCACGCAGCTCGCCGATGGCCGCCGACAGCAACGCCGCCGCCTCCTCTGGCGGCGCAGGTGGCTCTTGTTCTTGGGTGGCGGCTGCAGCTGCTTCCTGTACGCGTAGAAGCCAGAGGAGTCGGAGGACATGAGGCTTCTTGAGGACAAGAAAGTCTCCGTGTCGTCGTCGTCGCCGTAACCGTCGGTGCCATCGTCCTCCTCGCCAGAAGAGGTGAAGCCGTAGGGGTTGGACGAGAGCGTCCGGACGCTGCCTTTGTCGACGGCGTTGTTGAAGCGCCGCGGACCGCTGTGGCGGGAGGAGGTGCTCCTCTGCTCCTTGTTGGTGCGCATGCTCTCGGTCTCGGGAGGAGGGCGGCGGAGGCGGCCGAGAGCGGCTGAGAAAGGCTCGGCGCGGGAAAGGGGGGCGGCACTGGTGTAGTTGGCTGCGGTGGTGGTGGAACTGGAAGTGGAAGAGATCGATATCGTTGTGGCGGCGGTGGCTGTAAAAACCGTGGAGGTTGACGAGGATGAGCTGCAGGGGGAGCGGAGGAAAGTGTTGGCCGGGCGGAGGAACAGCTGGGTGAGGGGGGTCCTTTAGCCGCCGGCCACCACTTCTGCTGCTGCAGTCCATGGATTGCTGGAGGAGCTTGGCCGAGGGGTAGTGGCGAGTGGCAAATGACTGAATGCACCGCGCGCGCCGAGAGGATGGGCCGATGGGTCGTCAAACAGAGGAGGCAGGTGAGTACTGTCAAGTCAAGTGTGCAGTACCATACCTAAAAATTCACTCAATATTGTAAAAACTATCCACACCTAATATTAAAGGGCTAAAATTTTTGCCTCAAATTTTCGTATGGCCCACAATTCAAACCAGACCCGCTCACTTTCAGACAAACACCGACTTGGTGACTTACAGTACTTCTCTTTCTGTCCGCACCGCCGCTTTCGCTTCCATAGCATGAGCCCCGCTAGCGCTAGCCACTCGCCCTAGCTCCTTCGCTCGCCCCCATTGGTTTATGCCCACCTGCTCCCCGTCCGCCTGAGCTCGGAAGAAAAAGCTCTCCGAGGCTCCGAGCAGGCATGTGTTGTATCGGAGGTGATGGCGGCGACGCATGGCCCTCGCGGCGATGGAGGCAACGCCAGAGCAGCGGTGGCGATGCGGTCACGCTGCGGCTAGCACCTAGCAGAGCAGAGGCCCCAACGGCCGACGGTGGCGGCAAGGCCGGCGAGAGCAAGGCGTCAGCTCGGATCAGAAAAGTTGTGGTACATTCGACACAAAATCCTTTCGTTTTTCATATTGAGTGAAATACACTGGCGGCCCTTAAACTTGTCGGCCTGTACCAATTCAGTCTACAAACTTGCAAACGTGAAAAATAGACCCCTGAACTTGTCTAAGTTGTTCACCGTAGGTTCATTTTCCATTCGGCGCGGCCTCCAGACGACGTGACAGTGCCAGCGTGGCGAACGAAGCACGTGAGCCGTATGTTTCAATGGATCTGGCACGCTCGCTTGCCGGTCGCGCAAGCCCCGCTCGGCCACGCTGCTCGCCTGCCGGCACCGCGTGCGCTTGTCCGCGGCACCGCGCTCGCCCGCTGGCTTCGAATGCAGGTTGCCAAATCTCTGAAGTACGGAGTAGCAGATAGCTAAAGAGTACCTCCATCAAAATCCGAGATACGTATCAGTTTGCTCTCTCGCAGGAATGATGTCGGCAAAACTGCGGCTCGTAGTCGCGTTCTTGCTGCCGCTCCTTGCCATCGCCTCCGCGTTTGATCCCTTCCACCAGAACATGCCACAAATGGAGCCAAAGATGGCGATGGGAGGCGGCCAGCCTCCATTCATCCCCCACGAGTACGTCCGCTCCGCTGACGTCAAGCGGCAATGCCGGTCGGTGCTCTCCTCCGCCACCGAGCTCACGTTCGACGCCAGCCGCGCCAACGCCCTCATGCCGGAGCTGACCTTCGTCAAGGGGGACGGGAAGCAGGACGACGGCGGTGTGCCGCTGATGCCGTTCGACGGCACCGACGTGTCGGGCGACGACGTGGCGCCTGACCCGCTGGAGCTGGCCTCGTTCATGCTCACGCACGTCGACGTGGGCCGCCGAGGGAAGACGGCCCTCAACGTCAGCGGCGTGCTCGGCGTCGCCGTCTCCCGCAACGGCACCGGCCCGGTGATGGGGCCGTACGTGTCGCCCGAGCTCAAGGTGTGGCCCGGGAGCACCGAGCTTAAGATCCTCTTCGAGGGCGTGTACACCGAGAACGGCGACGGCGAGAGCGTGCTCTGCATGGTCGGCGACGCCCTGCTCCCGAGGCGCGGCAGCGACGCCGGCAACCCGTGGGTCACCAAGGACGAAAACATACTGATCGTGCTCCGGTACCCGACGACGCGCGCCGTGCGCGGCGAGCTGACGAGCACGAACGCCAAGTCGGACGTCGCCTACTTCGACGCCGTGCACCTGCTCTCGCAGCTGGGTGCCTACTCCAACTACAAGTTCGGCTCCGAGAAGCTCGTGGACAAAGCGTGCAGCACGCACCCTTACCGCGACGACATCCTCGGCGGCGGCCGGGGTCTGTACAAGGGCAACTCCTTCTGCGGCATCCTCGACCGGTTCACGTCGGAGGACGTGCTCGCCGTCGTCCCGAACTGGCGGTGCAACTCCACGGACGCGGTCTGCCGAAGGCTCGGTCCGTTCGAGACGGACAAGGCGATCGACGCGACGGACGGTGCGTTCACGTACGTGAGCATCGTGATGCAGGACGTCCGGTGCGAGCCGAGGAACGCCCCGAGCGGCGAGAGCTCGGCGAGGGTGTCGGCCGTGTTCCGCGCCGTGCCTCCTTGGGAGCACAAGTACTCGGCGGGCAAGCGGAGCGGGCTCAGCGGCATGACCCTCTCGGCCGAGGGAGTGTGGCGCGCGTCCACGGGGCAGCTTTGCATGGTGGGCTGCCTCGGCGTCGGGGCCAAGGCGTGCCATTCCCGCGTGTGCCTGTACGTGCAGACCACAGGCTTGTTCGGCTGGCTTATTCGGGTGGCTGGGGCTGGCAGGCCACTCAGCGGGGTACTGTTCACGTACTGTCAGAACAGTATTTTTCTCACAATAATCAGCCGGAACAGTATTTTTCAATCCTGCCGAACAGGCCCCACTTTCACGGCCACCCGCCGCAGCCTGACGGTGGGGCAGATCACCCGCGTCGACGGCAGCGGCGGCGTCGCGCACTTCCCGCTCACGATCAAACGCACGGTGCACCCGACGGAGCTCTGGAACCGGTTCGGCGTCTCGGGCGGCGCGCCGCTGAGCATGGCGTACAACTACATGAAGGTGAGGCAGGCCAGCGAGTTCCTCAGGCACAGCGAGCCGTTCGAATTTGGGGCCGCCCTCGCCAAGTCGCTCCTGAGCTACCCAAGCGAGCGTGGCAGGCCCATTGAAACGTGCGGCTCACGTGCTTCGTCCGTCATGCTGGCACTGCCACGTCGTCCGGAGGCCGCTCCAGATGGGAAATGGACCTGCGGTGAACAACTTGACAAGTTCAGGGGTCTATTTTCCGTGTTCATAAGTTCGTGGACCGGATTGGCACAGACCGACAAGTTAAAGGGCCGCCAGTGTATTTCACTCTTTCCTATTTATTAGAAATCCTTGTTGAAACAAAAATTGAAGATTGCCATTGCGATGTCCTGATCTCGCCGGCTACGAATTCTGATCTTGCCAAGTCGAACAACTCTCCAGATGTCGTCGGCTATCCAGCCCATATCTTGCCGGCCCTCAACATGTTTGACAGATTGCTAAAACGTGCCTTCTCATCTGGAACTCTCCTCCATCTCTCTCTTGCACTGCTCGTGTGGTAAGCGGATGCACTTCCATCAATATGGTAACACACACATGTTGCTGATGGTTATTGCCCCTGTGCGCATGTTGCCATTGCTCCTGTTGACACAAGTCCAGAGGAGAGCATACCCTTCTTTCTTCATCACTATCGTAGCAGCAGCCTCCATCGGGTGAGTGCTGGCTCTGGCTGCCAATTTCGTTATATTTATGTGCTGAGATTTATCATTTATCTATTGCTCTTTTTTTTTTTTTTTTTTTTACCTTTTTTCATGTTGTTCCGATCTTTGGATAGATCGCAATATTAACTGATAGCAGAGCTTTACCAACATGACAGCCAAGCTGTGAATTTTTTCATTCTCCTTTTCAGTGTGGTGTCAAATATACAGGTCTTCATTAAACCATCTTTATTTGTGCACTTGTGTGATGAAGTTATGTCATACTTTGTTTACAAGAAAATGTTGGTGAGTGTGTTAAGTTGACTAAAGAGTTTATACGACTTCCTTCTTTCCTTACAGAGCTAAAGAAGACAAACATCCAATGATATGGTCTATGAAAAGGCATCCTCTGAAATTGGCCTCCTCTGCTACATTTGTTTACAACATTGATTCTTGTGTTTTTCAAAGGCTAAAGATCTTTTCTCAATCAAGAATTCAGTTCTAGCAATTCAAAACTGCCACTAGGAATGACCGAATGAGTAACAGTGAGAGTATGTTTAGTGAGCATTTTTTAAACATCATATTGTTTGGTGAAACATTCTAGCATTGGAATCATAAATAGCAACAACGAACAAGCTATATTCCCTGACAAAATTGTTATCCCATATCAGTTTCTTTTACTTTTCATTGTTACTACTTACTAGCAAATATGCCCATGCGTTACAGTGGGAGAAAAAAAAACTATCAAACATTAATAAGAAGCAATTTAAAAGATATATATAATTTATTTTATCATAATCATGGTGTCTATAATATAAGTTAACATTGCAATAATACAACAATGTTCTATTAAAACTGTCAAATTAAAATACAACATTGATATATTTTTTCTTCTGTGATAAGGCACAAAAATGTTAAATATATCATAACTTTAATTTTATACTATCCATATGTGGGCAGAATTAAATATGGAGTTCATTGACTTACTTTGAGGACCCATAAAGATATAAATATTTACTCGTAAATATATCATAACTCTATTTTTTATACTACATATGTGCTTATAGAGTTAAATATCGAGTGCCATGATTTTTGTCTTTGAAGACATAAAAATATGCAATTCTAATCTTTGACTAAAGTCAGCAATGAGTTAGTTGTTGTTGTGTCAAGTATTTGTCTGTATGTTGATGACCTCTCGCTTTTTCGCATGGCTACCCTTGTCTAGGGTCACACTGATAATACGGTATATGCTTACAACTTAGGGATATATTCATTTAGATTAAATTAGATAATTAAAAAACTACTTAATATTTCAGTTCATGGTTTGATTAGTCGGACCATCGGCTGATATATGTTCTAACAATAACAAGTTTTATTCATAACTAAAATTATGTCAACAACTTAGTGGTGCGAATATTTATTTATTAGGATAGAATAAAAGGTTAAAAGACAAAATCCTATAATATAACAACTATAATTTATTTTAGATTTGATGTTTATATAGGAAAACATAGGATAGATATCCAAATAGGGTATCTTGGAGTTGCTCTTATTCGGAAGCATAAACAATAGCTGCATAGAATGAAATAAGTGGAACGAAAAATTGGAGGAGAGAAATTTTCCTAATTTAATATTAGGCTAGCAAACGTGCTTGTGCATTGCAACGAAATCTAATACATATAGAAATTGACTTCATATCATCACTAGACACGAGTCGTTCTAACTCGTATGGGTATAGGTCATGAGTCCGGGTCATATATATACACAAGATATGGAGGGCAAACCAAATACGTCTTGAAATTGGACTCTGTATCAATCATCGCGAGACGTGAGTTGTTCTGACTCATATAAGCACTGATCATGAGTCCGGGTAGATTCATGGAGTTGTTACATTGAATTAGTCCTTCCTGGCACATTTGGTTTCAGTAAAGATGCAATTCTTAATACTTGCGTATCAAAAGGTTACAGATCTTTACTTGAGGAACATCATGGTAATTAGAATCCAATTATGATTTTACTCTGCTCTATAAGAGTTACTGCATGCCATAGGCTTAGCTTCAGTATGTTTTGAGATTCTCGGTGCAACAAGTTCTGAACTATGTACAACAAATGCTGATTTGCAGAATATATTAACCAAATAACTCCTTCATCAACTGTTTAGAATACGAAGCCGTACTATAAATTTATAATATATGTTTTTATTAAATTATTTTTCTTTTCTTCTTTGTCTTAGGAATGTCCTTTTCTGTTTTGACAAATCTTTTCTTATCTTTTGATGCACTACCAATGATTATAGTTTTTTTTGTGAGTAAAGAGAGAGCATTATTAGCTAGACACCAGCGTTAATACAATCGGCTATTAGATGGTCCTGAGCACACGCAGGTGCCTGACCCCACCATGCCGCAGAATGTTTTGTGCGCCTAGCTAAATTAGCTACAGCATTTGGAACTTGATTGCAGTCTCTCTTTACTTGGGAAACCTTAAACTCTTCTACGAGACAAGACAGGCTTCTAATTTCCTCTATCACCGGGCCTTCTTCTGATCTGTCCACCACATGGTTACTTATCCTTGCTGCCACCCAAGCACAGTCGGACTCTAGGATGACTTTTGAGAGTCCCCAATGGATTGCCCAACGCGGACTCTCAATGGTCTTGTTCACCCCCTCGGGCATTGTACCAATGATTATAGTTACACACCATGTTTTCAAGTTTTTTTTGTCAACTTTTTCATTCTTGCGTACCATGAGTAAATGTCATGTTTATTGTCGAACATAGCAACCATGTACTACTGTCCTCCATTTTAATCAAGGTTGCATTAATAGGATACTTCTTGCTGGTTATTTAAAGGTAGGGGAAGCATTTACAGATGTAGAGATAGTGTCACATTTTTCTCAATAGGATATTCCACTGATTGGTCAACTGAAAATTGGTAGTGCACTGTTAAGTTAATATTCTTGTGTGTTATATTGAGAAGCAGCTGAATTCCATTATTTTCCATATAAAATTGAACCCCAACACCTGCACCAGAGTCTAGAATGGGCACCTTCCGTTGATGATATATCTTTTGATTCTCTAGCATTTTCTTCAATCCTTATCACCTCAAGGATGGTATGTCCAATCCCTCCAACCTCCATGTCTCCCTGCCTACTCCATGTTTCCTCTTGCCATTTATATAGGTTAAAAATTACAACGTACGGGCACATTTGCTAGTATTCATATAAATGCCAACGCCCCTCTGAGGCCATGTATAACACGCTCCCAAGTGACGTATTTGTAGTGTTATTTTTGTCAGTGATGTGCCCAAGAGATAATTATACTTGCTATAGATTAGATTCATAAGTGGGCTAAAACATGATGATGATTCAATAGAGTACTAATGGACTTTTAGAGTAAAGGCCCGTTAGCGAGGTCTGTATAAAATCATATTCATTATGGATTGGATCCATAAGTGAGCTAAAACATGATGATTCAATAGAGTACCAATGAACTTTTAGAGTAAAGGGCCATTAGCGGGTCTGTATAGTGAGGGGCAGCTTTAACGTTTAAAGTCCATGAATGGAGTGGAACCTGCAACATCAATTAGTACCGTACAGCTAGTTAATGTAGAGATAGAGAGTTCTCTTTCCGATATAAATGTACCAACACCTCATGGGAAAAGATAACTTGGTCCTTCCAAGCCTAAGCCTAAAGCATAAGTCCCCTTTCGCCCTCTCAGCCACGCGCTAGGTGCTAGCATAGGTGTTCCATCTTTGCACGTGTGGATACTGTGGAGACACTACGGCGTTTGTTGGCGATGAATGCGAGGCGAACCGACAAGGAGGGCAGATACGCTGCTGCTACTAGGGCACGAGAATGTACACACCTACTTCCGCTACATCGACACACACGACGTTGGACCAGGCCGCTCCACAAACAACATTCAAGGAAAAGAGAGACGGAAGCCGTCGTCTAGTGAAAGGACGATCTCAACTTGTGCTCCCACGCCTACTGACGTCTTCGTCAGGCATTTTAGGAATCGCCGTCACCATGCGCCAATGAAGGACCAAGCAGGCAACCATAGGGGGGCGGTGAATGGGAGCCAATTAAAAATTCTCCTCTGAGAGTCTGGCCTATGTCCCAACAACCCCAAGAGCTCTCAAAGCCCAAAAGGAAATCACATAGGCCAACTGGTGACCAGATGACTTCGCAAAGATCAAAGACAACAGAGACATAGCACAGAAGCAAGAACAGTGGAAAATGTTGTTGCAATCGAGAAAATGTAGCGAAGATGCAAACTCCAGCAAAACAGGCCTGTTTCTTGATGAACCGGCCTGGCCAATTTTTAGAACCGGCTAGCTGCTTTTTCTGGACTAAGGTCTGATCCAAAAGACAAAAAACCAAAACTTGATCAAATCAAGTCCAATTGAAACAAAACTTGGCATGGATCTTCTCCAAGATAAGGTGAAGCTAATTGCAATGAATCGACTCAGAAAACCAAAGGATCAACATAGATCTAAGATGAGTCTCTCCAAAATGGGGTTTTCTCCATTTTCTTCCAATATCGATTTCTGGTTGTTTGTGGGAAAACTGCTCAAACCAGTTGATGAGTATGTTCCCAGAGGGTCATAGCACCAGAGAATCAACACAAAACACCCCAAAACCTCGGATCGAA